AATGTGCAACCTTCAAAACACAAGAATAGAAGTAATGTAATCTTTTTACTTCTAAAACAAAATAAGAATAATAAGTTAGCACTCTTATCAAACTATCAAGGATATGAATCTCAAAGGAAGAAAATCTAATATACTCTTATGTCACTTAAAAAGACTAGAAAATCACTCAAAGATAGCAATATATTGAACTAGAATGGCTATTGCCAAAGATAAGATGATTAGAAAGTTTTAAAACAAAACTAAATCATATTTATTTACTTCTATCTAATCATATAGGTAATTATTGGAATATATATATATATGAAGGTATAAGTGAATATATATATATATATATATATATATATATATAGGTATAATGAAGGTATAAGTGAATAAAGTATAAGTGAATATATATATGAAGGTATATATATATATATATATATATATTTATTTATTTATTGCAAGAAACAACCTCAATTCTATATTGGTAAGAAGATTTAATTACTTTGTTGTAGTATTAAGACTATTAGCTTGTATAAAAAATTGGATTATTATAAACTTGAATCATTTCTTATTTGTAAACAAATCAATCTAGTTCTTTATTAATTATACCTATCAAAGTCTATAAAATATATTTTTTATTTCATATTTTTTTTATTCATACAAGATAGTGGATATATTGGCAAGAAAAAAACTACTACTTTCTTTTATAGAAGTGGGCAATAATCAAAAATTTGAGATAGAAGAGGTCTTTGACTCAAGGTGCCACCAAAATAAGTTAAAATATCCTATATATTAGTACAAATATAATAACTTGTCTCTAAAAGATAAAATAATATTATGAAAAAATATTTTAAAATTAATAATTAAGAATATAAAAAAAAATAGATAAAAATAAAAATAAGTAAATTTAATAATAACTTATAAATAAGCTTCTTTGATAATATCTTGTAGAAGTTGGCCATATAGTACATATGTGAAAAACTTGTCTTTCAAGTTAGACACATATTTTACAAGTTGGACATGTATTGGATGACTTATAGAACTTTGCTATATAGTTCTTTAGTTAGATAGTATACACAAAAGTAAAGATAAGGCCTTCCTCACTTTTATCAATATCTTTCTTGTATTTTCGTCTTTACTTAGGAATATTTGGTCTCTTTGTATTTGACAATAGTCATTCTAACTTCTATCTTATATCTATCTTTGATTTGTCTACTTTTTTTATTTTTAGTATTATAAGAGTATATTATTTTTTAAAATTTTATTTTAATTTATATCCTTGACAAGGGGCTTATATTTTTATATTATGAAAAGGACCAATAAATCAAAAAAAAGATAAACAACTTATTATTTCAAAATCTTCAATAAAATCTAAATATTTAGCTTTAAGTGATAGATTATAGAAAGTTGTTTGGTTGTACAAACTTCTTTAAAATAATAAATCAAAAAGCATATAAGAATTTTGTTTTCTTATAAAGATATAAAGATAATCAATATATTTTCATATACTATTAAGAAGAATATAAAAAATACTATATCAATTAAGACTTAATTCAATTTGTATAAAATTTTAATTTTTTGTTTTAAGACAAAACATATAAAAATTTACGGCTATTTTATCTATAGAGTATTTAGAAGAGAAATCAAGTTAAATTATATTAAGATTAAATTATAACCAACAAATGTTCTTATTAAACTATTATAAGAATGAAATTTAAAATTTATAGATAAGATTTGGGACTTCAACCTAAGATTTAACAAATTCAAAGAATATATTTCAAAGACTCATCAAACTGAATATAAGAAATATATATATATATATATATATATATATATATATATAATAAAGTTATATCTTTCTTTGGCACAATCAACAAAAAAGAAGACTAGAATAAAAATTAAATTGCAAAAAGGAATTGTATTATAGAAATCATTCATACGTTCTTGAGTTGAAGAAAGAAAAAAATATATATATCTTTTAAAAATAAATATATATATATATATATATATATAGAAAGAGAGAGAGAAAGAGAGAGAGAGAGATCTTAAAATAAAATAAAATATAAGAATTTATAGATTATAATATTTATATAAAAATAAACATACAAAGATTAATTGAATAAAAGATTGACTTTTTGCTGACTTTAAATAATAGAAATCAATTGTCATTAACCAAAGATACAACAATTTATATAAATATAAATAAATTAAAAGATTCAAATAGAAGGTCTAACATGAAAAAAAAATTTAAGATAAGAAGCAAGTATCATCCAAAGATGAATCTTTTGACCTTATCATGTAGATCTATTGATATAAATACTCATAGATATATAATAAAAAAAATCTTTAGAATAGAACACATTGAGAATAGAAGAACAAATCAATACCATTTTAATTGGTACACCTTTAAGTTGGAATTTTTAAAAATAATATCAACTGATTTAAGCAACTTTTTTCCTATCAATTTGAACATTTTTTTTATGGCCTTTTCAAAGGAAAAATTGTACATAAGATAAAATATAAAAGATTGGAAGTTTTTTATACCTTTATATTGAACATAAAATAAAGAGCCTTGTAGTTGCATAAATAAGAAGAAATACCACAATTTTCTAAATCAATTAAAATTATTAAAAGACCAAGTTCTTCTTGTCTATCCATCTATTGTGATTTTAAAATATTATGGTACTTATTCAAATCTAGAGTACTATTAGAAGATTATTTTATAGCGAAGAATCGCCTTCAGATAGATAGAATAAGAGAATTAATTATGTTAGATAGATTTTTTTTCAATAGCCTCATTTAATTTAGAAAATTAAATTCTTATCAAAATTGGTATAATATGGTTATTTTGTACTATATTTCGGTAAGATTTTGCATTAAATTCTAATACAATTAATCTTGATTTTTTGCACACAAGATGAATTCTAGATTCTTAAATAATTCTACAATTTAGAACCAATTTTTTTATAATTTGGACTTATTCTTTTAACAATAGATATCAATTTAAAAGAGTAAAGATGTTTGTATATTTTTACATAGAATTTTGCAAAAAAAAAATAAGTCTTAAAATACATCAAGTTGTAGAATCAAAAAAATATGTAGGTAATATAATCTTTGTGTTATAAAATTACCACTAAAACTACTAATTACATCAAACTCTTAAAAAAGTCTATGTGTACCTTATTATATAAGTAGAATGAAGCTTTAAGGATTAAAGAGTGAAATCTTATATTAAGTAAAAAACTCATGATGGTATTCTTAGATCTTATATTAAGTAAAAAACTTATGGTGATATTCTTTGATTTTATTTATTTAGATTTATGGTAAAGAATTCTTTATAAAGAACCATACAAAATTTACTTGACTCAAAGTAGCATAGAATACATATTGCATATTAAAAAAGAAGAGAGATTTAGGAATTATTAGTTTATAAAAAAAACTATAGTATCCTTATTCTTAAAATAGGTACTTAAAGTCTTCCATAATGACAAATCAAATATCCAAAACTAAATAAGAGATTGGATGCTAAGAACTACTTCTAGTCCCTTATGAAAATAGTAACAAGCTTGTGAATGGATTTTGATCCCTTTTTCATAAATAAGCCCATGGATCCATTAATTGGATATTATTAAGTAAAGCATGGCCTAATATAGCTACATTTTTCAATCTTAACAAATCCAATCTTTTTTATAATGTGCAAAATAGACTTTTGTAGTAGGATAGTTCTAGACCACTTATAAGCTCTATCATTTAATCTCAAAGAGTTGTAGCTTTACATTCAAAACAAATGAAAAGGTTCTATAATATCTTCTACTTTAAAGAATAAAGATTTTTACCAAAAAAGAAGCAAATAGGAAATTTGACTTAGAACCACAAGACCATTGTTTTTAAATAACATTCTCTTAGTTTTTTTTTAGCTTAAAAAATACTTAATAGATAAGAGAGTCAATCTTCTTACAAACAAAGATTAGATTGTCTTATATAAAAAAATAAGAGATTTCTCCTTTTTAGTATTTTTTAAACTTCAAGACCTATATAAAAATCAATGGCTTTTACTCTCTAGGGCCTTTAAAATAGAAATTCATCAAATAGAAGTATAATTAAGGATATTGCATGAAAACTTAGAATTATTCAATTAATGGCTAAGCCATAAAAAATCAGTAAAACTTATTCAAGTACAAAATGGTAGACTTTATCAAAATAATGAAAGTGTTTACAAGAATAAAAAAATACAATTAGATTATTTTATGACTCTACATCAAAACTATTGTTTGACCCTAAGGCCTTTTTTTAGGATCCAAGCTCCAATTAAATGACTTATACAACTCAATAGATAGAAATCCCTTGCAAAATCCACAACCAGCTTAGAACTTAGCTACTTCTAAACACCAATTACAACTACCTACCAACTTCTATTTTGACTTCAAAAAATGTTTAGATTAAAACTTGGATATAAAAGAGAAACCATGATGTTTTGGCTAATATAGCACAAAGAGATGGCACTTAATTCTTAGAGAACTAAAAGGGAAATGAAAATCTTCATTTATTGTTTCTTTTTCTTTTTCTAAAACCAAATAAAGAAATAATAAATAAATAAATCAACATTGGCTTTGTAAATAGATTCAAATTCAAAGAATTTGAGAGTAGGCCACATTACTAACATACAAAATGGTAGAATAGATTATGGATGATAAACAAATTCTAGACACTAGAATAAGAATAAAAATTCATTTTAGCAATAGAATTTTGAGTAGTAGCCTAACCATCCACTCTTAAGATAGTTCATAATAAGATGAGTGATAAATCAAAATACGTAATAGTTGCACTTTTAGGTTTACCTTGACAAAAGGTATCAAAGCTTATGTAGTCATGTTCTCCACATGTAACCTTCATCTATCAATGCAACAGGTTTACCCCAATTGTTTCAAAAATAAATAAATAAATGTGTTTATTTATTCATTTATTCATTCATTCATTCCATCACTAAGATGCCAAATTGAGATATTAAGTCACGGATAAGAGCAGATCAAAGTTTTCTATGCACTTCTGTGATCAAGCAGCACATCAAATGCATAATGCAGCGCTCTTCACTTACTCCCGTCAGCAAAATTGATGTAAACTCTACGCTGTAATTTTTTATTCCAATGCAATAAATTAACTTGAGAACTGCACACCAACCGTTCATCAGCAACAAATCTGAAACAAACTGAATTGAAAAAATAGAGACCAAGCTCTGCCACCTAAATCTTGCACTAGGATGGCATCATGAGGGTACCAAAGTTGCCATTGATTAACGGTTCATAGGACTTCAGTTGCGGTTCTCTAACCTTTCAACCCAAGCTGCAGCATGTATTTCTTCCTTCACCACATCCAGCACTAAGCTGACGAGGTGTTACTGCACTGCGAAGTCTGCGCCAATGGGCAAATGGTCACTTGGATGACTGTAATTAGGAAGACCGCCTTCAAGGTCAGGAGAGTCCCGGGTTGGAAGAGCCAGTAAATTGATAAACCGCAAAGAATCAGTAGGTCGAAAGAATATGTAATCCAGGGTGCCAGTGAATCCAGGAGTCACATTTGTGTTGGGATGCGCACCGAGAGCTTCTTCGTAGAGACTCAATAAAGGGAGCGGGGCCCTTTCTGGCAACTGTTCCTCCCCGCGGTTACTTTCACTGCTACCCAAACTGAGATTAGTGAGTTTTTCTTCCAAAATGCTGTCAGTCTTCCCTTCTAATGTAGAGCTTTGTTTTGAACCTGAGGTGATATATCGATACACCTGTCAGAGTGTAGAGTGCCCATGTCAAAAGAAGGGCCAGGGGAATCTCCAAACGCAAGACGATGTCAAACTGAAGACTTCAGAAAATACAGTTTATCTTGGTAAAACAAGATAAGTGCAGAAGCAAAATGGCACAGCTCAAGAAAGCCCAGCATAATAGACAAATTGTACAGCAAAGTTCAGGTCCTGACAAGACACAGAACTAGGAAGAGTCTCAGTGTTTTGATGTATGACTGCCAGATTTTGGACAACAGTCTCACCTGGTCGCCTGGTGTTGAATTGTAGTCCCCGCATACAAGCAGCAGAGGGTTGCTATCTAGCTTAGAACATAGGCCCTGTTGGAATTTCACGATTTGCAAAAGTAGGTACCTTGCTTGAGCCAATTTCACATCGGCCCATTCTGGATCCCTGGTGTGCAACAGAAAGCCAACCGGGGACAGCATTAAAATCTCAGCTGCGTGATAAACTTAATCCTAATTGAGAACTGCTGTAAATAGACTGACAGCTGAACTGCGTACCAGTAAAGATGAGTATTTCCAAGAATCATAAATTTATTTGGTGCCCCCAGCATGCGAAAGGCAGCCAATATAGCCACACAATCTCGCTTGAGGCGAACACGTGGGTCGTTAGGATCTCCTCGAACCTCTGGACCAGCTGAAAACCCACGTGTTCTGGATTCAATTAGGTTTGAATACATGCAGTATCATAGTAGCACCAGGTATCCAGCACACGACTAATAGATAGCTAAAGTCAGTATTCATTAAAACAAGCCAGCTTGATAGTAGGAATTTTTCTTTTTTGTTTTAAAATTTAAAAAACATATTACATAAAAAATAAAAGGCACTAAAAGCTAAGTACAAGAGATTGCAAGAGTTGGCGAGACTATCAGTTAAGACAAGTTATGTGTCACCTTTGACAGGTGAGGATGATCGAGATCGACTCTTTGACTGCTCTGGTTTAAAATTATTAACAGGAACAGAATCACTTCCAGTTTGGGAATCGTCTTCTGAGGGTACCTCGGGTGTATCCTCCGTGGGAGGAGGAACAAGATCATTAAAATCAACTACTTGCTCCTCCACAAGTTCCATTCTGATTAATACCCATAATCACGTTTATCACTTAATTGTCCAAAACCTTGAAGTGAAATGGATAGAAAAGATCTCCTGATCACCAGACAAAGTCTCGAGAAGTTGATATGAAACACACACACAAACACACACAATCACACACATGCACTAGAAAAGATGACTCCGGGTGACCAATCTAAACATAAGATAATAACACTTGTATACAAATGACATAACTCACCATACACTTACCTGCTGCGTTTAAAGAATATTCCACAACCATCACGTTTCCTACCACTGCGCTGAATGTAAACACTGCTGTAGCCTTCCCTAGTCAATCGGCTTTTGTAATAGCTTTCATATTCGTCCAATTCCTATAAAAGAAATATTTATAAATTAGAAGAATGAACGAAAAATATACCAGATGAAGAAGAAGGTTAAATATGATATCATCAGACGCTTCAAGAACTCTTCAAGCTTAGTGGAAACAGGTAACCAGTAACTGAAGTTCGAAACAAATGCAATTGAACTTTAGACTTAGACTGTTAACTATGATCCTTAAAATCACTATAATAAAATATTCTCAAATGAGGAAATCAGACGGAAACCTGCAAACACAGCACGTCCGCATCAAATGATAAAAGCCGTTCCAAAACAGCCTTGGACCGGTTTTTCCATCTGCAAGACCAGGAAACACTTAAGACTTCAATGATGACCTTGTGAGAAAATCAAATAATAGAAAATTTTCATTCAAGTAAGTCAAGTGCTGAACATAAAAAGCAATCCTGCTAATTTCAAAGAATGGTTCAAGTGCAGAGCTGGTTTTCCAGTATACGAATAACTTGAATTGAACTCCATAACCAGTACTTTTTGACAACTGAAGCTGTGTGAGTGTATCTATTTCTACATTCCTAGAGAGAAATACGCATACAGCCCAAACAGCTACTTTGACATTCTTGTCACATGATACAAGTGCTCGAATTAAGTATAGTTGAAACACAGGAGTCTCACAGTTTGAGCTTCAGAATTACGAACACAAAAGCATACAACATAAGTAACTTATCTACGACCTTGAAGTACACAATACATCAACCTTATCAAAGTAATAGAGCAAATAGACACCCACCTTAAGCATGGGGATGGAGAATGTGGAAAAGAAATGCCCTTGACGTATGACTGCGCAAGTATGTTGTAGGAAACTATGCGAACTAATGCTGTCACACAAATACGTTCATCACACTAAGAAAATTTGCACGTTAAAGATTTATCCCAAGATTTCGACAGGGAACCCTAAAAACTATTCTTACAATCGCCAATGTGACATTGACCAAATTTTGATAGTATTAATGCTAGAGATGTAATGAAAGATGAAAAGAGCAGGAATTAAGCCAAAAACACATACTAATAGAAACAGGGATCGCATGTGCTTACGAGCGGAAGATGACACTTCAGTATGCTCTGGAGATTGAATTGGGACGAAAGTGGGTGACCATTTTGGAATAGGGGTGGTCATTGTACCATAAGTCTTCTGCACCTGTCAAGTAAAAGGAATTTAAAATTCAAAAATGATAGTACATGTACAAGGACTAGACAAACATTGCCATCGAACAAATACTATATGGGATCATCACCTCCAAGCGCGCTAAGCAGCTCAGCATTTCTCTTCTGTACAGGCTGCGCACCTCACAATCCCAATTCAACTCAAAAACTAATCCTCAAAAACCCAAAGAGTCCATGATTCATGTCTAATACAACGATTCACTGAGAAACACAACCCAGTTAACAATACAATGCAGTAGCAAAATGCAGCTCAAACCACCACAAATCAACCCACATCACCAAAAACAGAAATAAAAACAAACAAGCAAAAAAAAAAAAAAAATCAATCCCAACCAAGGGCTCCAAACTTGCGAACTAATCCCCTAGCTCCAAAGAAACGAAAAGCAACAGCGCACCCCACAGAACACCGGAGAACCTCATCATCACCAGGGCTGATCAAAACCCTGAACCCACAAACACAATGCAGGAAACATCAACACACACAAACGGCAGTATCAATCGGAGGAGGGGGGAGGTACAAGTCTTACAAGTCGGCTGAAGGGTGTGCGAATTGTGCACATAAGGCGGCGCTGAAGCATGAGCTTAGCACTGTAGCCTCAGCAGGAAGTGCTCTCACAAATTAGGATAACGGCGAGCTTCCTGAATCAAACTTTCGAGAAAGCAAACACTCCGAGACGGAGGGATGGACCAACGCATCGACACTCGCAATGGTTTCGCAGGGCTAGGTTCACCGCAAGGATTGCCTCCTGGTTCTCAGCGTGGTTCCTCGTTTAGTTGTGGCTCCCTTAGCAACCGCGCTGCGAACCAGGCAAAACGGGCTCCGAATGTCCGAATGTCGATACCCCAGCCCACATCCTCCCACTCTGTGCTCAGTGCTCCAGGTTAAATTGTTTTTATAATTCATATATGAACCTGTAACTCTAGTGTCCATTCTTTGATTGTATTACCGTGTTAGGATGTTAAAAGGTATTCACATGTAACGGGTTCATTTAGTCATGTTTGCATTCAGCCTTATATTCATATATTAATTTATACACAATAAAATAGTTTCATGTTGTTTAGAAATTAAAACATTATGTTCTCTTAAAAATAAGAAAAATGTAAATAAATATTATAAGAGAAATTTTTTTTAAAAAAATTCCACCTTAAAATAATTGATTTTATTGTTAAATCTATTTCTATTTGTTTTAAAAGTGAGTGGATCACCTCACTTCTTTTGTTGTCTTTTAAAGTTTACAGACTACTTACATTCAAATTAATATTTTTATTTTTTTACATTGTTTTTTTCCTAAAAAATATTGAGATATCCATCTTTGTAGAAATTCTTATTAGAGTTTGTAAATTACCTTCTTTGAATTTGAATTATGCATTTATTAAAGTTTTTTGTTATAGATATGGAAGGAAAAATTATGGATGCTACACTTGTCAAAAGTGATAATAAATTTGTAACTATTGCAAATCTTCACAAACTTATCAATACTCTTAGGATTGAAATTTCACCTATTACTAACATCAACCATAGAAGTATTATTTCCACACCTATGGAAGGAATAAACATTGAAATTTAATCTCTATGCAAAGAAGTTGTATAGTTGAGAGAAGCAAGTAGATCAATCTCACAATTCAATCCAAGAAGTCTCACTGTTATAATTATGAATGAGACAAAGATTAATATGTAAAAGAAGTTTTATGGAACAAGATCAAAATTTTGAGGATTTTTACAACAAATTAAGCTTTATCTAAGATTATAATCTTTCCAATATCTTAATAGATTTACACAAGTGGAATTTATAAGTGCATTTTCATCTAGAAGTACTCTTTTTTGGTTTACACTATTGATGGAAAAAAATTCAGAGCTTGAATATAATCTAAATTCATTCTTAAAAATATTTATAAGTGCATTTGGAGAAAATGATCAAGAAATGGTAGCAAATACTAAATTCCTATCATTACAATAAGAATCTCGTTTAGTTACTATATATGCTAGTAAATTTTAAAACCTTGCTTGTAATGTGGATTGAAATGATAAAGCTTGTGTTAATCAATTTTGATATGAGTTAAAAGATAATATCAAAATTTTATTATTGACAAAAAAAAATTCATTAAAATAATTTATTGCTCAAGCTATTGTATGCAACAATCAACCTTTTGAAAGATGCTATAAACAAAGATTTGAGTGGAGAAGAACATTTGAAGCTATGACAATAATTCTTGAGTTGTTAGAAACTTATTAATCAAGGTCAAAACCTATGTAAATTAATATCATATATTTAAAATCTTTCACTGAGTAAGAAAAGACTTGAAGCAATAAAAAAAAATTGTACTTATATTGTGGAAAATTTAAGTACACTGCTCAATATTATCTAATAAAACAACTACCATTGATATACATATTTAATCAAATAATCACTTAAATAATATGAGTAAATAGAAGTAAATAAAATTTGTTAGTATTTTATAGAAAAGCTTTTTAGAAGCTTTATAAATATGGATTTTCTTTTACAAATGTCTATAAGTGATTGATAGGTTAAAAACTTGGGCAACAAATTAGTCATATGTTGTACATGTTGTCCACTTATAATACAAATTGGATATATGGCACATATATAAGAAACTTATCTTACAAATTAGACATATATCTTATAAGTTGAACACATGTTGGTGTCATGGACATATGCATGTAAGCTAGTAATTACATGTATAAATAGATAGAAGTAAATAAAAGTAGATAAAAGTAAATTAATTCTATAATATTTATTATGGAAGCTTTCTAGAAGCTTTATAGATGCTACTTTGACTTTATAGGTGTCTTTAATTGACTTTTTGGATTAAAAACGTGGTCAACAAGTTGGCCTTGTGCCACACATGTTGGTAGCTTAAAGACCAAGCCAATTATGTGGCCCACACATAGAAAAATTTGCCTTGTAAGTCAAGGCATGTGTCCTATAAAGTCAACATATATTGAAGGTCCTATAGAACATCGCCACATAGCTCCTAGTTAGATAGTATATATAGAGATAAGAGTGAAGCCTTCTTCACTCTTGTCAATTCCTTTCTTGCTTCTAGTGTAGTTTCAAGGATCTCTAGTTTTCTTGGCTTTTGGCAATAGCCATTCCAATTTCTTTTTTAATATACATATCAAGTCATTTCTATTTTGTTATCTTTTTTTGAGAGAAGTCTCACTTATTTATTTACTTTTATCATATTCTTGTCTTTGACAGATTGACAAGAGTACACTTATGATATCAAAGCTTTGTCTAATCTTGATTAAGAATGGATTACCTCTTTCTCTTGATAAGACATAAGCATATTAGAAGTTGTGGATTACCCTCTTCTAAACTAATATTATCCTTAGTATTTTCTTTGTTCTCAAGTCCTCTCTTCTATTTGTCTTGAGTGATATTAGACATCTTTTTTTTTTCTAAGTATTATCATGGCAGAACTTGTTGAAATAAAGAATACAATGGCACAAATGCAAGAGCAATTGAGGGAGTTAATGCTTGCGATGCATTAATTCAATTTACCACCACAAGGAACAACAAGATTGGCAGAAAGTGAAGATATAGAAATGATTGAAGATGCTTCAACATCTGTACCAAATCATGTCCTTTTTCCTATGGTAGAATGTTCTTCTACTGTTAGAGAACCAAGAATTGTCCTACCCGAGAAGTTTGATGACACTAAATCAAAGTTTAGAGGATTTATCAATCAAGTACAACTTGTGATTGAACTTCAACCTCAAAGCTATCCAACTCTAGGATTGCAAGTTAGATTCATTGGTACGCTTCTTTCAGATTTAGCATTATCATGGTTTTCATCTTTTTTTGAATGATGAGATCCAATATTAGATAATCTAGAGCCTTTTTTGGCAAAATTTTGATCTATGTATGGAGAACATGATACAATTTGTGTTGCAACCAATAAGATCTGTATTTTGCGATAAGATAATCGATTAGAAACGTTGTATGCTTCACAATTTTGATAACTTGCAACTGACATCAAGTAGGATGATGCTGCACTTATTAACCAAATTTTCTATGGATTACAATATGAGGTAAAAAAATTAATGCTCAACTTACCTAATCCTCAAACATTGAGTCAAGCAATTGACTTTGTTGTGAAGTACGACAATCGTCTTTAGTATTGACTCTAATATATATTAGGTATTAAGAAGCTTCTCAAGAAATTTCTATATTGCTTAGAGATGAAGCAACTCTAAGAAGCTTCTTAAGAAGTTTCCATGTTGTTTTTAAAGAAACTTCTTAAGAAGTTTCTATAGAAGCTTTAATTTTCTTTGAACTTTTTAAAATCTATTAGAATATTTTGACAGCTTTTAAAAATCTTTTAGAATATTTTAAGAATAATTTGAGAATATTCTATTAAAATATTCTAAAAATATTTTAATACATCATATCAAAATATTTCATGAATTTTATAGAACCTTCTAAAATTTAATAGAATATTCTAAAAATATTTTTAAAATCTTCTTGTTAAATGTTTGTAACATCACATCTTTCTTTAGCTTTGAGTTCTACAAAGAGTATTTATTTCATATTTGCAATAAAATCATCAAAGCTTGAGCATTATTTTCAAGATTTTCTTATTTGAATTGAGTATAGTATAAATGTTTTTTCCTTTGAAAAGGTTTAGCTTCATTTCAAGGATGATCTTGCAAAGGTTGTGAGAGTTGGAAAGATTGATTTAGAAGTAGTAATAAGAAAAGCTCCAACTTTGATTCTACTTTGAAATTTATAATTTGAAGACTCTTTAAATACTCTCTAATTTGACATATTAGTTTATAAACTACATACATTAAATTCTAAGGTTGTAATGAACAATACATGCTTTCTTCTTTATATATAATATCCTAGAAATAGCTTCATAAAAAAGTTAACTTAAAATAGTTTTAGATTTTTAAAATTAGCATCAATGAAATTTATGTACATTTGGCAAAGCATTGACTAGATGTCATAGACATATACATGTAAACCAATAATTATCTATATCATTAAATAGAAGTAAGTAAAAGTAAATAAACATAGGTTATTCCATAATATCAACTACATACCTTCTTAAAAGCTTTATAGATGCTGTTTTGATCTTGTAGGTATTTATAATTGACTTTTTAGGTTAGAAATGTAGTCAACAAGTTAACCATGTGCCATACATGTTGGTAGCTTGAAAAATAAGCTAACTATGTGGCATACACATAAAAAAACTTGCCTTATAAGCTAAGGTATGTGTCTTGCAAAGCCAACACATATTAGAGGTCCTATAGAATATTGCCATGTAACTCCTAGTTAGATAGTATATGTAGAGGCAAGAGTGAAGCCTTCTTCACCCTTTTCTTGCTTATAGTCTAGATTTAAGAGTTTCTAGTTTTCTTGTCTTTTGGCAGAAGCCATTCTAGTTTTTTTTTTAATATACATACTTCTTTATTTTTATTTTTTTATAATTTTTTATTTACTTTCATTAAGTTCTATGAGCTATAAATCCTCTCTACTTTACTTTAAGAAGAAAAATAACTTCACAACAAGTTCAAAAGGTAATAGAGAATAATTGTGAAATTATTTTAATAGTTGATTAGTTAATCAATCAATTTATAATTATCTAGATATTGCCTTCCAAGTAATGGTTACCATTTAATTTAGAACAAGTGATAAGAA